GAGAGAGAGAGAGAGAGAGAGAGAGAAATTACTCTCGTCTCGGAATATTGGAACACCTACACGATTTTATCTATCCACATCTAGTTCCCATAATTCCACATAATAAGTAGTGTACATAAATTGTTTATATCTCGGTATTATTAACTTTCTAAACGTTTGAACAACTTATCGTGTATCAAACATTTAATGACAATCATCGTCTGTAATAGCCACTAATTTTTCGTTCCAAAATTGTACGACGTTTTTTTTGATTGGAGAAAGAAAAAACGTGTCTGTAAAATTGGCGATCGAGATTTTAAAAGTAATAATTTAAAAAAAAAAAAAAAAAAATAATTAATCAGATATACGAGAAAAAAAAAATTAAAGAAAAAAAAGAGTTACGAGAGATGATGAAATGTCAAAGATTAAATTTACGTCAATCTCAGATAAAAAAAAAATTAATACGTCTCTTCGCTTCACACATTTCGATAAGATCGAATCTAAACTTTGGAACCGTTGTACGTTGATTTACGTAAGAGTGAGGAGAAATTTGAAGAAAATTTGAATTACGCGCAAAATCCGACGTTTCGATGAATTGAACCGAATTGACTTCCGTTCCGTATCGTTCCGTTCGTTTCTTTTCCTTTCGTTTCGTTGTGTTAAACGTAACGAGGCTCGATAAGCGTAACGAGAAAAAGAGAAACATTCTAGACTCGAGAGAAGAGATACACGGTGAAGCAAAGGAATAAAGAAAGGTCTAGTAAAGAGGATAGTGCGGCAAGGCGACTAACCTTGGTTCGTGGGTCGGTGACCAGCTCGGTAGTGTGGAGATCGTCGCTGTCGAGTGAGGCGCTGCAAGGGTCGCGGTATCTTCCTGGACAAGCGCACAGAGGCTGAGTAAAATTCAGCCTAACGTAAACGGCATTGCAAACTTGCTGTACCGCGCACTCTGGTAACAAGTAGATATGCTGATTGTGTGGATAGTAGTGATACTTGGTTGGTTTTGCAAGAGCTGCGCTCGCACCCTCCGGTAATCGTACCCCAGTCTATGAATCGATCGATAAACAAGCATTTTTGTTAGACATGGCATCGAATTTCTAGATTCGATGAAAATTGAATTAAACTCGAAACCGAAATTTTTTAATAATTAATAATTAAATGAAAAAAGAAATAGGAAAGACTAGAATAGAAATTTGTCGTGTCGTGAATTCACGATCGTGATGATTCTTGATGATTCTTGGTGAACCACAAAGTTGATTGTTCCATTATGATAATATTGCTAAAGGTATAATTCCAAGAGCATTTCAGTACGGATGCCGACGTTAATGTTCGGTATTCTCTAATTCTTTGCCAATTTCTAAGAATTTTCTCAAATCTTCGAATAATCGATTTTATGTTACGAACAAAGAACTACTTCAATAATAACCATCATTATTTTCTTTTTCGTTATTTTTCGTTATTGTACAAAGTAGTTATTTATTTCTTATTTAATAGAATGCCGTTAAAGAAATTAAATTCTTACTTTTATCGTTACGTTTCATTAGTCCGGTTTTTCATCCAGTTAATCATAAGATTGATAATTAACGATTATTTTTTGCTTAAAATGTACCACGTATAATATTAATCTAGAACAGTTATTTTCATAACTGAATACATTTCATCATTCAAAGCGGATCGAGAAAATTGTCTTACGAACACATATACTATCTACGTAATATATAGGTATAATTTACGAACACGTACAGTTGAATGAGCAATTACAATAAAAGCGTGTAGCAAAGTCGTTCGATTCCTTCTTTATCCTCTTTTTTTTTTATTTCTTTTCCCTTCATACTCTTCCTCTTTTCATTCTTTTCTGCTTGTTTTGGTATCGTCACGTTCCACTACCGATATTAACATCAGCCGATCCGCTCGCACGTCACGGTCATGAACACTTGCCCTCCTTTTGAAACGTTAAAACGAGCAATGCGATTCGTGACAATTTTCTAAAAAAAACATTTTGAATTTAATATCAATATCCAAACTGAACGATATGATCAATATCCAATCGAAGAATATATTTAGAATCTTGTCTCATCCCTTTAACTTATATAGGTTATGTTACGTGTCGCGACGATTCACGAGTTTTGCGCGCGAACTGTAATTTCGATATATTCGCTAAATTCGTAGATGGCGTTGATAATATCGAAATACATTCAGAAGAATCGATTTGATTAAACTTTTATTGGAGGTATATGATCGATATAATATTTTATAATCGTAATCGTAATCGTAAGATAATTATAATTTTGTTTCTTTTTATTTCTTGATAACCAATCTCAAGGCATAATTATCTTGATTGAAACTAATTTCCTCTCTTTTTTTTTATTATCAAAATAATGTTTTATATATAGAATATGTGCAATATTTTAATGTTAAACGTCTATCGTTATAAAATATATATAATATTATTTTTAATAATATATTCTATCTAAAATAATCTCATATTTAAAATAAAAACTTTTAGGCTACTTTTAATAATTTTTTTCTTTCCTTCCAGTGTAAATTGCTTGCAAAATAAAATTTTGATATTGTTGAAATCGCTTTTCAACTTAACTCACAAGAAATTTATATCTATTACTTTATCATATTTTATTACGTGAAATTGTGTGTTTATAACATTTTTATTTCTATTCCTATCTTCCTCTTAACCTCAATCTCACATATGAACTTTTCAAAATTGAAATTGAAAATATTTATTTTTTTTAAAATATCGAATCACAAAAATAGAAAAAAAATCGAAATTTTAAAAATTTTGAATTCTATATTTGCTACACGTTTTTGCTTTATTTTTTGTCGTTTATAAAATAAACTCGATATAAAAAATTATTAATTGTTTAATATAAAATATAATACACATGAGAATGTTTCACATTTGATGCAATCTGATTTTCCAATCATGAAATAGTAATGTGAAATTATTTTCCACGACGGTAAAAACGCAACTTGATCCTTATTAAAATAATTACCGGATGTCGTGTCAATGACTTGGAATGAAAGAGGATGAGAAAGGATAAAATAAGAAATAGATAAAGGAAAATGAAATTGTTCAGGCAAAAGAAAAAAAAAAGTGGTGAAGTTCATTACAGGAGAAGAATAGTTTGTTTTGGTTAAACAAAGTGCATGATTTAGTTGCAACACATCTTTGACCTGTGAAACTTAACCGCTTTATAGCAGTGTAGTTACGGTACTTATGGTATAGTTAAACATAGTTATAGCTTAAACAGTTATATTTTGCGCGTGAAATGTTCCGCGTATAGAATCCATCCTGTTTAAAAGTACACAAATGAAATAAGATGATTCATTCTCGTGAGAGAAGAAAATAAAAAAAAATAAGAGAGAAACAAAGAGAAAGAAGAAGACGAAGAAGGATACAATATTGTATACATTGAATGAGAAGTGCAATTTTATTTTTTCTCAAAAATAATTGTTCAAAATAATCGAATATTTCTTGAATATACAATTTATTTATTCTTTTTAAATCGATTAAGATAAAATTTGTATCCAAGCCATCGTTCATTTTATCTTGAATTTTCAAAGTTCAAAGAAGAAAAGTAAAGAAAAGGTATATAATTTTTTTTGAAGAATAATAATACAATAAATGAAGATTGATTGATCTAGAATAATAGGCGCGTATAACATTTTTTTTATTACGTGAAATTTTAATACGTTGAACGTTGAATTTCTGATTATCCGTGTTATTGAATGGATATTAAGTTAAATATTTTTCAAGAATCATTGCATAATTTGTTTGAATTGAACAAACGAATGAATGAGCGATTAAACGAGTGAATGTGAGTGAGAGCGAGCACGTGTAGATATACAAAGACATAGAGTGTGAAAGATCCATACATGAATCAATTAAGAGTTAGAAAAAGAGAAGATTTTAAAGAGAATACAATTTAGTATGAATGGTTCATTATTATTGCTTCTAACTACACAATCATATTATACGATCTATCTGCAATCCGATGTTCTTGGATAATATTACTTTTAGAAAGTAGTCGATCATTTTTCCTTATATATAATCCTATATTCATTCTATCATTTGCATTTTTAAATTAATAATTTTTACAGAACCATAAAATTCGAAAACCTATGCAAATAGCTTTTTTTTTCTTTTACAACTCAAGGAATTGTTTATACAAAAGATGGAAACTCGTAACGAAAAATGGGGAAATAAAGGAAAGGAAAGGAAAGAATCAGGAATGGATGATTCGACAATAATTTTACTCACCTCGCCAAGATTCGTGTAGTTCATCGTCAGTTTGATCTGGGGTCGGATCTTGCCCGTCGATTCCCTCATTTCTTTCGACGAGGTCGAGGCAGGGGTGGTGGTAATCTCGTTGAAGCTAGTCGTCGATTTCTTCGAGGAAGGTAAAAAGGTGCTCGCGTCTCGATTCGAAGCGATCGTTCTCGATGAGGCTTCGGTGGGGAACGTGGTTAAATTCGAGCTGCTTGTATTTATCGCCATCGTTGTCGACATCTTCATCGTCGTTCTCGTGGTCGTCGTGCCACGGTTGCTCGCCGACGACACGGGTGCTCCCAATTCCGTTCTCGCGTCCGCGATCGACAAGGTCGACGAGCCGCCCGTCGCGACCTCGACGGAAGAGGAATCGTGTCCCGTCGACGATGACATTGTCGACGTCGTCAAGGACGAGGAGGAGGAGGAGGAGGAGGAGGACAAGAGCGTGGTGATCGAGTCGCCGTTAATCGTGGCGGAAACCCGGCGAGGAGGAAGCGGGTTTGATATAATGGCATCGACGTTCTTGCTACCGCCGCCATTGCTGATTTTTGCAACGTTGCTAATGGTAGTAGTGGGGCCGACGCTGTTCTCATCGATGCCGCTACCGCTCGATGCAATTACCGAACTGCTCGACTCCTCTTCGTTGAAATACGATGGCGCCTTCGCACGCCGGTATTTCATCTTCCCGCTACTCATCAGATCGGCCTGTAATTGCGGCGGCAGGGCCATGCATCCAACTGCCAACGGAACTAACCATATGGCCGCTCGAATGCTGGACTTCATTTCGTTCTTTGGCGAAGATTGAAGATCGAATAGATTTTCTTCGTATATTCTAGAAATAAAATCGTTATATATTAGCATATTAGATTTATTATTATATGTTATTTTTTTTTGTTCTCTCTTTTATACGGTAAATGGATTTTTTTATTTCACTGAAATTAATCAATCGATTGAATTATCTTGAGTTATTAAATTATTTCCAATTTAATGCCTTGGTAAAGAGAGAATAGCAGAATAGCGTGAATCGGAGATGCAGATTGTAAGATGATAGAACGAGAGATCGCGTGGAATCTCGTTTCATATATCTTCCTTTCTCACGGGCTCGCTTCTTTCCTCTAGCTTTCACGGGAATACCATCTTCTCGTCTTTCTAAACGAAAAGAGTAGACTGTGTCGGAAAGAGTGTCTATTAGAAGGGAGGAAAAATGATATAAAAAAGGGAGAAGGAGAAAAAGAAGGAAAACGATCGAATGCAGAGGGAAAGTTCAAGCTTCCTTAACGGTATCGGAATTTTTTTTATGCATCAGAGAGTGAGAGGAGGGGGGGGGAGGGAGGGAGAGGGAGAGAGAAATAATGGGGCGCGATTTTCTCGACATTCAATTGAATCGTTAAATTTGAACACACTATAGCGTGCTTGTGTACGCAGGTCACGTGTGCCTCCTATTCTTCTCTGCCATTATCCACCACGGAATCTTCACCTTTGATCTCGTCTCTTTTGTTTTCCTCGTAGCC